CAGAGATCAAATGGGGCCCAACAGAATCTATTACTTTTAGTAAAAATTTTGTAGGTATTACATCAAGTGGGCTGGAGGACACTCTCATTTGTGATACTGTTTTTAAAAGCTCAGACAAGTCGATGGGATAAAACTGGTTAAAACTCTGTTGTTGCTGGTGAGGAACCTCTGAGTAAGAGGCCACGGGGTAATAGTCATCATTACCTCCAGCTGAGGCACAAGGAGGGGTTGGGTTTACCAGCTGATCCACAGTCTTAAACAGAAACCTGGGATTGTGTTTATGTGCAGTAATGAGTTCAGAAAAATAGTGTGTTCTCGCATCCTTAACCATGTTATTGTAGTTAATTAATAAATCCTTCAGACTGAGGTAATGGACTTGGAGACTGGATTTTTTCCATCTGCGCTCTGCTTTCCTGCATTCCCTTTTTAGGCTGCGAATGCTGTCATTTATCCAGGGTTGCTTACTAGCTTTAGACGTAGGCCTTACCTTTAGAGGAGCAGTAATATTTAGTGACGACAAGCAGATATGATTGAAGTGATTGACCAGATTGTTGGTGTTGGAATCAGACAGGTGTTGGCTTTGGCTCTGAAAGAATGCGCAAAACTTTGAAACACTTTGTTCATTAAAGATGCGACAACACACGGAGCTTGGTGAGGCGGTATGAGTAACGAATCGCAGCTAAAAACAATACATCTGTGGTCAGATATGGTCATGTCCACTAATTCCACAGAGGAAATGCTGACACCCAGGGTAAAAACCAAGTCCAGTGTATGACCACGGTTATGTGTTTGCCCTTTGACATGTTGTTTGAAGTTAAAAGAAGTGGCCATATTTAAAAAGTTAGTTGCATTAACATTGTTGGGGTCATCAACATGAATATTAAAATCGCCACAAAGAACAATTCTGTCATAATTTAAAACCAGAGTAGATAAAAATTCAGGAAGTTCTGATAAAAATCCTCCAGGCGGTTTTGGGGGGCGATAAATTATAACAAATATGATAGGTTGCAGCCCTCCAACTTTAAGAGTGAGAACTTCAAAGGAGCTAAATTCATCACAGCGTACTTGATGACATTTAAAATTTTTCCTATACACGCTCACTAGCCCACCACCACGACCACTGACCCTCGGTTGACTAAAGCAATCATATTGAGGCAGACACAGTTCAGCTAGCTGGCTATAGTCATTCATTTGCAACCAGGATTTAGTTAAAAACATAAAATCTAGATTTGCAGACAAGATAAAATCATTTAAGATAAAAGTCTTACTTGAAAGTGATCTCACATTGAAGAGAGCCATTTTAAATGAGTTTGTTCTGGGTGCTGGTGCAGTTGTCCTAATCCTTAAGAGATTACTAATATTTCTGTGTGGGATGTGCACATTTCGGTTTACTGGTCTATGCGTGATGATGACAGGAATAGAAGTCTGTGGAACAGCGCTGGGAGCAGACGGCTTTACATGCCAGCAGGTGGAGACAGTTGTTTGTGGCAGTGAGGCAGAGATCTGTTGTGAGTGGTGGTGTGTCCAGGTGTGCTGCATGAATGATGAGTCATTCACGTAAGTCATGTGTGGACCGCACCACATGCTGTATGTGCGCAGCTAACATTTCTGAGCCCCGTTTGTTTGGGTGAAGTCCGTCTGTCTTAAAAAGAGACATTCTTTGCCAGAAAATATTAAAATTATCCACATAAAACACACGATGAGCCCTGCAGGCGGACTGGAGCCAGTCGTGGAGGCCAAGGAGTCTACTGAAGCGGCCAGCACCGCGACCAACTGTGGGAATGGGACCAGAGATAAAAACGGACTTTCCACACTGCTTTAAAAAGTTAAGAAGACGGTTAAAATCTAATTTTGTCAGCTCAGACTGCCGAAGAGCTGTGTCATTTGTTCCGACATGGACTATCACTCTTGTGATGGAGGATGGGAGTGACGGCATCAGGTCCTGGAGTTTTTTTAAAATGTCAGCCGTGGTGGCACCGGGGAAGCAGCGAGTGGTAGCGTTAAAGAAACGGAGGTTTCTGGTTATGGAGTCACCAATTATTAGTGTGGTTGGGGAGAAAAGAGGACGAGGAGATGCTGGTTGTTGGGATCCAGAGCAGGACTGAGCAGAATCTGCTTCAACACTGCGTGCGGACTGAGGATGGAGTGTGTGAGCTGCCGAGTGTTGTGTTGGAGCAGCAGTAACAGACCTGAGAGAAGGGCTACCTGACGGTGCAGGGTGGAGACGGCCTCCGGAGCGTCTGAGCACAGCCTCCTTCAGGATCCTACGTCGGGAAGCGGAGGTTTTTGACCGGGATGACGGCCGCCGATCAAGTCCGGCGGCAGACCGGCGGCCCAGTGCAGGAGATGTAGCCGGTGGCGGAGATGCAACAGTGTCGGCAGGCACTGTGCGCCGAAAGAGATCCGTATCAGGGAGACTCGAAGCCGCAGGTGAATCCGCTGGATGGACCGGAGTGTCGTTAGACAAGGCTGCATAGCGGTTGGAGAGGCCGATGTCCGGAGGAGAGGCAGCCCCATCCGAGCCTCTCTTGCAGCCACGGACCACCACTTCAGCCCAGGTTGACTGATGCTTTGGAGTCGAGCAGGATGAAAGCCTGGGAAGGCTAGAAGGGTCCCAAAACACGGTGTCCTGGATGTTAGCGGTTGCGCTAAGAGAAACAATCTGTTTGGCTTGTACTGAAGCCACATCCATAAAGCCAGTCAGCAGGGAATCTTTCTCTTTGAGTTTCTCTGAAAGTCGTCGGATGTCTTCCATAAGGTCAGCAATCTTCTTGTTCGCTTTCTTAAGGAGTGAGCAGTCCTCATGGGGCAGAGTTATCTCGGCTAGCATAGCCGCTGGAGCTTTGTTGCGATCAGTAGCGTTGATCGCGTTTTTACGGTCATCTATCTTAAAATCCATGTCGGATGACTAAAATCCTTAACCCACGTAAAACTTAAATAAAGTTAAGTTAAATAAAAGGATATAAAAAATGTAACGAAAAAAGTGGATTAAAACTGGAGTTCGGTTCAAGACGGAGCTTCCGACAGGTGGCTACAGACGCCAACGCATGCGCAGAGTGCAGATTACATCAGCAATTACGTCAGAGATCTGGGATAAAACTGGTTAAAACTCTCTTGTTGCTGGTGAGGAACCTCTGAGTAAGATGCTGCGGGGGTAATAGAGGCTCTGATTGACACCACCTTATTGGTAAAATAAGATAAAAACAATTCACAGTCATCATTACTTCCGGCTGAGGCACAAGGAGGGGTTGGGTTTACCAGCTGATCCACAGTCTTAAACAGAAACCTGGGATTGTGTTTATGTGTAGTAATGAGTTCAGAAAAATAGTGTGTTCTCGCATCCTTAACCATTTTATTGTAGTTAATACTGTTGATGTAAGTCATTAACTGGGGATGTTCTGTGGTGATATGCTTTAGTTATTTTCTTTATCCCATTTACCTTCAATTTGCATATCAATAGTGGCGATTGTGATGACGTTATTAGACACAAATGTTTCTGTGTTCACCTCTAGTGTCTCCATCAGTACATTAGGTTGTATGGCCTTTTTTTTTTTTTTGCCTTAGCTAAACTTAACCTAAGACATTGGCCTATATTGTCTTTTGTTTAATTAGTGGTAAACTGGAGGCACTGGTAGTTTAGTCTTTTGTTCATCACCACTCACCTCCACACAAGCCAAGAAAAACACTGCTGGGAGAGAAGCTGTCTGTCTGTGAGCTGCACTCTGGTTGTCTCAGTGAGATGCAGGGGGAGAGAGAGAGAGAGAGAGAGAGAGAGAGGGCATCAGTAACTCCAAAGTAAAAAGTAATCCAGATAAAAGGGCACTTTCTCTTGAAGAAGAAAAAAGGCAGGTGCTGAAGTCCCTTTTGATGGCTATGTGTGCACGTGCCTGGGTGAAGGTATCACAATCCACTGTTGGAAGAAGACTCAGAGAGCAGAAATATAGAGGCCACAAGATGCAAACCACTCATCAGCAGGAAGAATCAGAAGGCCAGATCGAAGTTTGCAAAGAAGTACAGAGATGAGCCGCAAAAGTTCTGCAACACAATCTTATGGACTGATGAGACCAAGATTAATCTCTAGCAAAGTGATGGAAAGGCCAAAGTGTGGAGAAAGAAAGGAAGGAACTGCTTATGATCCGAAGCATACAAGCTCATCTGTGAAGCATGGTGGAGGTAATGTCATGGCGTGGGCGTGCATGGCTGCTTCTGGAACAGACTCATTAACATTTATTGATGATGTAACTGATGATGGTCGCAGCAGAATGAATTCAGAAGTGGACAGAAACATTTTGTCTGACAAATTACGGAGAAATGCATTGAAACTAAAGGGGAGGAAGTTTATCATGCAGCAGGACAATGAGCCAAAGCACACTGCCAACAAAACAAAGGACTTCATCAGGGGGAAAAGTGGAAGGTTTTAGACTGGCCAAGTCAATCAGCTGACCTTAACCCAATAGAGCTGCATTTCACCTCCTTAAGAGGAGACTGAAGGGAGAAACACCCCGAAACAAACAAGAACTGAAAGAAGCTGCGGTAAAAGCCTGGAGTAGCATCACAAATGAAGAATGCAACAGTTTGTTGATGGGTCGCAGTCTTGAGGCAGTTATTGCAAGAAAGGGTTATGCCACCAAATATTAAATGTTATTTACTTTAAGATTATTTGTTCTGTTACTTTTGCTCACCTAAGAATGCTGTGGTCTAATACAAAGGGTGGTATGTCCTGAGTTGTTTAACACATCTAGATGTGAATACCAGGAAACAAAAGCTGAAATTCTGAACTCTTGTTTCATTCTCCTCTTTTGATCTTAAACCCAAATGTCTTCAGTGAACAACAAAACAAAGAAATTTTTACTGGTGCGACCTGATTCAGTGAATCACTAGTTTGAAACTCTTGTTAGTTCCTGAGAACTGAGTGAAGCAGAGTTGTTGTCTGGTGATGGAGTTTCTTTGTCTCCAACAGTTTCTCATGTTGTTTGAACAGTTTGTGTTTGTGTGTTCAGAGTTTCCAGCAGAGCCAGAGGTCGTCTACTCTTCACTGAGGTAGACCTTCACACCTTCACACCAGTCCAACCACTGATGTCCAGCTGGCCTGGAACTGGTCCCCAGAGCCCCTCACACCTCAGCACATCCACTTATTATGTTTCACTGTTAAAGCTACAAAGAGACAAACAGGTCAGATTTAGTGAATGATTCAAACATTTGTGTTTTTCACTGAAATATCAGTGATGAACAAAAGATAAAATAAATTGTTAAAATACTTATTTTAAAGGTGGCGATTGTTGTGAATTGCAACTGGTAACTGTGTATTCAAGTGCTCCTCAGATGTCCCCTTTTCTATTAATTCTTATGGCAGAATTCCACTTATGGCCGGCTACTTGAAATAGATAGCTATACCGCGACATGCATGCAGTTGCCGGAATCACGGCATGCAAGCAAAACTGTGGACAAGACCTGTAAATCCTTAGTCGGGGACAGCCCAACTACATTCCAGCTATCGTTGTGCTTTACTATAAAACAAGTTAGCACAGCCCTGATCGAGCTGAACTCCATTTAGAAAACAAGCATTTGTTTGCAAGTAGTTTGCTTGGCATCTTGTGAGAAGACCTGATGAAGCATGAATTCATATGTTTTACTTTTTTTCCCGATTATGCCGACACCACATGAACGCACCATCAGTCAGCGCTCACCCCTCTCTTTCCAAGCTCACAGGAGAAGCTTCGGTGGTCGAAACGCTCTGTTGGCTTGTGTTAAATATTATGTGTGGTCGTCTATTTGTCCAAATTTCTCTTCTCTTCTTACTTCTAATAAACCAGACGACGACTACTGTTAATCCAACTTACTTCTTCTTCTTCTTCAGCATAGAGACGAAACACACTGTAGAGCAGTTTGTCTGTTTTGGGCGACTGTAGAAACATGGCGGTGCAACATGGTGACTTACATGTAAGAGGACCTGCGGTGTAGGTAGATAGAAATGTTTCATTCTAAGGTAATAAAAACATAGCGGTTTATTATGTAAGGTCTTTATACACCCCTGAAAACATAGTTATGGAAATTCTATTATATTTCTGTCAATAGATCCTCAGAAATTTTACATACTGAAGGTTTAAAGCCCTGTAAGTGTTTCAGAACCAACATGTTTCATTATAATTTCATTCATATAATTATATTAAACAGAATCTATTGATAACTTTAAGTTGTTTTGTGGATAATTTAATAACTAACTTTACTGTTATTCATATTTTATTAATGTTTTTTGCAACTTGTTTCTCTGCAGGATCAATAAACTTTGTTCTCGTTCTTGTTTGTCTCCTGTGGTTCTGTGGGTTTCACAAAGCTGTCGGATGGAAAATTAGACGTGTTCTGGTTTGGCTGTGGATAACCGAGACCTCTCTTCAGTGCAGATAACTGAGAAGAAACAAAGTAAACTGCAGCCGCAGACTCTAAACAGCATGGAAGAGAGAAGTATCCAATACATTCCATCAAACTCATTTTTGACAGCTATTTCCGGTCCCCCCACCCCACCGGATGTCTGTATGTAACTGATAAGAGGGGGGGCATCCGGTCCCACCCCAGCCGGAAATATGTCTGTATGTAACTGATAAGAGGGGGTTCATCCTGTCCCACCCCAGCCGGAAATATGTCTGTATGTAACTGATAAGAGGGGGTGCATCCGGTCCCGCCCCAACCGGAAATATGTCTGTATGTAACTGATAAGAGGGTTGCATACATCCTTCCATTGTGTGTTTTTCATTGATTTAAAGACTTTATTAAGTAATACAACTTGAATGAATTAACTAGGAGGTGTTTGTGACAATAAATTTATCATTAAAAAAGCATAGCAGTGAGTTATAAGTAAAAGGAGGAATCTCCGGGGCCAGCAAAGGATCAGTAGGAGGTTTCTTTGGAATCAAGTCAGTCTTTATTATTAAACAAGTGAAGAATAAATTGAAATAATGACAGCAAAGCAGTAAAATGGTATAACGGTGAGTAAAAATTACCTTCAACAGCATGCAGCAAAATAAGAGTGAGTTCCAAAATTAAACTTTGTAAAATCTTTGCTAAAGCTTTGTGTGACAAACTTACCATCATTTAAGAACTAAAGAATAAGATGAAATAATTACAGTAAAATAGTATAACAGTGAGTTAAAATTAAACAGCATTTTTTAATTACCTTCAAAATCTTTGCTAAAGCTTTGTGTGACAAACTTACCATCAGTAAACAAGTGAAGAATAAATTGAAATAATGACAGTAAAGCAGTAAAATGGTATAACGGTGAGTAAAAATTAAACAGCATTACAAATTACCTTCAACAGCATGCAGCAAAATAAGAGAGTGTTCCAAATTACTTTGCTATTGCTTTGTCTTACAAACTTGCCATCATTATCACTCCAAAGCTGTAGCCTAGTCTTAAACTTGTGAGTCTTAAAACTTTAATCCTTCTAGAGTCTGTGTCTCCTCTTCTCTGTCCTCTCTCTTTCTGGTGTAGCATAGGCTGTGGGGTGAATTGAGGAATGTGCTCCACCCCCCGCACCTCCCTCTGTTTTCTCAATGAGTCGTGTTGGGGAGTCCTGGAACACCTCCCTCTGTTTTCTCAATGAGGCGTGTTGTGTGTTTAGCTGCCATCCTCAGGTAATCTTGTAGACCAGTTATTAACTTTGGTTATCTATAACCCAGACTCCGGATGTTAAAAAAACGGTCTGGTTTTATCAGACAGAGTTCGTGAGTTCGTTTTTGAAACAGGAAGCTATTTTTATCAGCCGGAGACAAGAGTTTGGAACTAAATAATAATCTGGTTGTACCAGAAGTAACGGCCCCAACCCCTCATCAGTTATCTCCCACATGCAGAGCAGCACTCGTGTGTTTTTTTGTTTTCTTACTTCTATAAGTACCCTACCAGAAATCCAGAGGTCTTCACACTAGTGACTTGAAACCAGAGCGATGAACCATCAAAGAGAACACGGTACGCATTCAGCCTTTCCTCCACAACTAAAGAAATAGCAAAAATCGACACTTTGTATTTTCATTCCTGCGTGTTTTCAATTAACAGTTTTTGACTTGATCGACAATGAGCTTCATTCAACCGAATATCAACTTGAAGGTAAGAGGGCCTTCTATGTACTAGAGTGAAATAGAAATGTTCTAAATTTTAAAGTGTACTATCCTGATGTGTATTTTGTATATTGTTTTACAGATTTGTACTCAGGCGAGGAAATAGGTTCTACAAGGGAGAATGGCACTCCATCAGCGCAGGTTGTAGATCTCACAGGAGAAGTCGGTAAGTAAGGTTACCTTAACTTTTAATCAGTGTGTAGGTTTATTTATTTATTTACAAACTTTTACGCAGATGTGGTAACAGTACTCTTTTCTTTCATTACACCCACAGATGGTGCGAGCGATTGTGAACGGTACTTTATGCAGGGTCTCTCCCCTACCAATTACGAGGAGAACGGTCCGGTTCCGGAATCGGATCAGCCCTCGGCTTCGGTACCGCAAGCGTACATAACACCGGGGTCCCCGGAACACGATGAGCCGGATGCGTCCCCGGAATCACCCGTCGATGATGTAGAGCGCTCCAGTCAGGCCGCAGATGGGAGGTCACGTAACGGATCACCGGTAGAAGCGCGGGGACTGACAGCGGAGGAAATCATTCATCCGGACCCAGCAGAACCGTGTACGCCGCTGAATCAGACTGAGCCTATACCGAACAACGGACCTCGGAAAAGGGAACACCGTAGAAGGCTCATTTCAACCAGCAGTAGTAGGAGCAGTAAGTAAATTGTTATAACGCTCTAAAACCATTAACCTAGAAAATATGCAGTCATAAAAAAAGTATAGCCTATATACACAGTTTCCCGTGATACCATGTTGCTGATTATTAGGCTATACAATTAATGAGTTAAAAGTATTCCACACTATTTTCTCAAATACAACACCATGTCAAATGTTCTATGCACCAAGTAGTCTTATGAGTTATTCAACCTGAGTCTAAAAGCTATTTTGCTTCTTTTTCATAAAGTAGGCTATTACTGTGGTGTTTGTTTGTTTGTTTTGCACTTCTACAGTGTTTTGGTACTGATGTCTGACATTCAGGGTATTTAGTTACAAGATAATGTAAGAATTAAAAAAATATAGTTTGCTTGTTTGCTAAAAAGTATTAATGTAGTGATTTGTAGGGGTGATGCCTGACACAAGATTTCTATCAATTTTGCAATGTACTTGTTTCTTCAATATAAATTTTATAGGATTGCACTTTATTTATTGACTGCATTACAGAAACGTCCATTGTTGGCTGGCATGTAATGACACGGAGTTCCCTCTTAGTTCCTTCTTAGCTAGCATGGAGCGACACTCCAGCATGGATGAATAAAAGAATGGGGTATTTCTATTGAGAGAATATTGTAATCTAAACTATATATTTAATTTTTAGTTACACTTACAAAATAAGGACAATTCTTATGTAGCAAAAAAAACAAAACTACAAGTGTTAACAGCGTCCAAATAATTCTAAATGTAGTCTTTCATTAACATATAGACTATGTCCCTCATTCTAAACTAAAGCCTTACTCATAACTAAGTGACTAGTCACACTAACAGGCCTCCTCTTTCTCTTTAGTAAAAAAAAAGCTAGAATTATAAAAAAATATATAGTTTACAACTTCATCAACTGGAAACTTCAAGAGCTAAAGTTTGATCCTTCTACTGAGAACCAGCTGCCTTTTGCTAATTAGGCTTTATTAGACTATTACAGAGGTCATGAAATCCAGAACCCTTCCCTTGGGGATGAAGTATTCAAATGCTAGTTAACTACTTTGTTGACATAACAGGACAGTAGTTTTCTGTTGAAAATAAAACAGAAGGTTATAATAAATCTCCTACAGGTAAAAGAATAGAAATAAGCTTCTTTATTTTGGCTCAACCGTGATCTGTGCTAATAACACTTATTGCACGTTCCAAAGCTCAACAGGAACCAGCAGCTTCAACAACAAAAGTCTGTAACAATATCTATCATATGGCTTTTTATTTTTATGTAATGCCCAGATTTACCACGGGGTTCTTGACTAGCCAGAACAGGATGTTCAGCAGTCTTACACTGTTTCATTGCAGGTCTTGCATTCAACCATTTTTCTAGTGTCCCCTTCCATAGCATTTTTCAGAGACACTACAAAAGAGGAAAACAGATTGCCATCGATAACCCAAACTCTAGGGTTAACTCGTAATTTTCATTACATTTGTTATGTAGTAAATCTACAACTGCAAAGCAATTTAGTGATCCCTACCATGTAGTGATCAAATGCCAATGCTCTCTCTCTCTCTTCCCCATATTTAAAATGTGTAAAACTAATACCGCAAAACTCATCAGGATCAATCTTCTATGTGTAAGTTAACATGTTGCAAATTTTACCCTTGCTACTAAGAGTTAGTACAGGACACGCAACATTAGTCCTCATTTTCCGAGCTGCTTTCTGAGCTGCTTTTGTCAAGCTTTGTGAGACGTGAAAACATTTATTTCAGCCCCACAATGTTTCTACATCACTGAAAAGAGCATGTGAAAATCTAGTTTTGGGGAGAAGTCTGTTTTTGCTTGTGATAAGCTAGCCCAAATCGCACCATCAAAACTTCTAGTTTCACATTTTTAAAAAATCCTGCCCCCGCCTTCATACTATTTACTTGTTTTGTGAAGTACATGCAGGAAGGATTGAATTACAATCAGCAGTGGTTTTACATGTCAACATTAGGTTATTGCAGAACAACAAAGAAGCCCCCTGCTGTGAAGAAGCATTTTGAGTAACAGAATTACATATCATGACAAATACATTAGTATGTACCACCGGTTGTTGTGGCACTAAAAACTGAGTTGATGGCTCACTATGACTCTGAACTGATAGTAAAACACATACTTTTGTATTTGTATTGTGTATTTACCATGGGGTTCATGCCCTTCCCTTCTCATGTTCGCCTGTTTGTCCCTCTCGTCTGTGTTCTTGTTACACGGTGCAAAAGAAAAAATCTTATCCATTCTAACCAAGACAATACATATGTATAAATATTTACAACTTTACTACAAGTGTTATGTCAGTTACAGGATATTATAAATCTAAAACTTCAAAGCAATGTTAATTACATTTTCATTAGCTTCAGAGTTTTCTACAGCAACTGGCTAGGAGGTGTATCAAGTCATCTGGAAAGGGACA